GTTAGGTATGTTAGCAGACTGGAGCTCTTCCATTCATCTTTTCCAGGGTGCACTTCCAACTTGAATGTTGGTACTTTGATTTACACCAAGTAAGCAAATGCTTAAAAAAACAAAACATTCAGCTCAGTCAGAAATTCAAGGATACTCCACAGCCAGACCCACAGAACAGAGAAACCTTTTTAGATTTGCAGATGCCTTTGATAGTTTCCACTCCCCCAGGATCCCATTTCACATACATCTCAATTAACTTTTTGGCAATGGCGAATATCTGGCAACTTGAAAGCGGTTCAACTTTAACTAGGTTTCAACATTCATCCCCCTCCACACCATAACCCAAATCTTTGTTATCATGCTTTTAACTGGATACTTTCATGTCCAGAGAAGCTTCACAACTATTAACTTAACTTCATAACTGTTCAAAGAATTATATTTGGCAGTATCATTCTCTCTCATTCGTTGCTCAAAAAAAAAAAAAGATTAAATGAGCAACCATAAATTTCAGAGGAGCTACATGTGACTTCTAAGTAAGTTCAAACAGCCTTTATGAGTTGATGGAATCAGGAGGTTCTCCCAGATTTTTATTTATAGCTTTTTGGGGTTACAAAACCCCTTTCACTTAATCCACACTCAGATACCACCTCATTCAGTCAGAGTGGCTAAAAAATCAGAGACTATAGATGCTGAGAGGATGGAGAAACGGGAACCCTCTTGCACTGTTGCTAGCTGGTGGGGAATGCAACTGGTGCAGCCACTCTGGAAAACAGTGGAGCTGTGAAAATTGGGTAAAATTCAATTTAAGGACCCAGCAATAATAATTGCTAGGAATTTACCCAAGGGATACAGGAGTATTGATGCATTGGCAAGCACTTGTACCCCTAACTATAGCAGCACTCAATAATAGCTGTTATGGAAAGAGCCTAAATGTCCATCAACTGGATGAATGCCAGGAAGCTGTGGTTTATATGTCAATACCGATGATACGGCAATGCAAAAGAATGAAATATGGCCTTGTGGTAAACGGAACGGAGGAGTGCGTGATGCTGGGTGAAATAGTCATACAGAGAAAGAGGATGCCCATATGTTTTCACTCTTATGTGATCCTGAAAAAGCGATATTGCAGTTCCATGGGAGGAAGGAAAAAAAAAAAAAAAAAAGTAAGAGAAGGGGGAGAGATACAAGAGACTCTTGAAAACTGAGAATGCCTTGCGGCATGAAGTCGGTTAAGTCTGACTTCGGCAGGTCACAATGCATCTCGCTGGTTCAGAGTTGATCCGTTTCGTCAGTTTCTGGGCCACAGCTCAGAGCTCGGAGCCTGCTTCCGCATTCTGTGCTCCCCCCCCTCTGCCCCTCCTGCTCATGCTCTACCTCTGTCCCAAAATAAATAAATGCTGAAAAAAAAATTTAAAAAAAAAAAAAAAAAAAGAAAATTGAGAACAAACTGAGGGTTGATGGGGTGGAGGGAGGGAAGTGTAGGTGATGGGCATTGAGGAGGGCATCTTTTGGGATGATCACTGGGTGTTGTATGGAAACCAATTTGACAATAAATTTCATATATTAAAAAAAAAAAAAAAAACAAAAAAACAAAAGAAAACAAAAAAAAGCAAAATCTCTTTTCTGCAGGAATATCATGTTGTATGACCTGTCACCAGGCAATATGAATTCTCTCATCATGTAGGGCTGGAAGAGGCAGGAAGGGCTGACTGGAGAGGTAGGGAGGGAAGGAAAAAAGTAGTGGGAGAGAGGTCTGTGTGCAGGGAGGAGTTGGAAATAGTGGAAGAGGAAAATTTTAGGCTGCTTGCCACTTAGATTCATACAATTCCAAGCTTTGGGGGATTGTTTTTCAATCTCCCAAATCTCAAACCCTAGGTTGATTTTAAAGTGGGTCATCCAGAGATAAATAACATATGGATAGAAATTTCTTACCATGTTTCAGTGGTTGATGAGATCCTATGAATAGGACTGCCCTCTTTCTGTCTTAGACTTTTAAATTCTTGCATTGGTATGAGAATTAACATGGGTTCTTGAAACTAGACATACTTCTAGTTGAGTGCATGAATGAATGTTACTAAAATGCAGAAGATATGACCCTCATTTCTGCTAGTGTATTTCTTCTGGCTAATTGTGTATTGTTGGGTCTTCATGACAATACATATTATGAGGGGAATCATAATGCATGTGAAAATCCATCAGCAGATACCTGTACTTACATCACTACATCTTTTATATATCCTAATTTTTATATGAGGCTATAGGGTTTATGCATTTTTCATTAAAAAATTAAGGTATAACTTATCTACAGTAAAATATACCCTTTTAGTGTACAGTTCCATGACTTTCCATAAGTATGTATAGTCTGTGACCAAAATCAAGAGACAGAACCCTCAACCCCCCAAATTCCCTCCTGTCCCTTTGTGGTCAACTGCTCCTCTCATCCCCAGCTCCTGACAACCACTGATCTCAGCAGATCTAGTTTTCTAAAAGGCATTGGTCTTTCCACTCCAAGTTGACCTTTCTTATAAAATCTTATTATGCTTCAGGGTGAACTATGGATTCAGGGAGAATTTTTCTTCGTGGTAAGAAAACACATGGGTCTCTCTAACTACCATATTCAAGGTAGTCATACACAGGGATCTTGGGACTTGATTTTGTTGCTGGCCTCTTATCCTTTGCCTGGGATTCTGAGTGATGTCCTGTAGGATAGCTGCTTAGGGATAGAAGCTAACACTTATGAGGGCTAATTGCATCTGGCTCTGCTGTACTTTGCATATAACTTCATTTTCTTCTCACAGGATCTCAAGGAAGCGCATACTATGAACCACATTCCTATTTACAGATGGGGAAACTGAGGCACAGAAAAGGGAAGAAATCTCCCAAGGACACATAGCTAGTGAGTGACAGAGGCAGCAGGAGACCCATTTGATGTCTTGTGTCAGACCTGTTCTACCCAGTAACCTGTGCAGTCTTAGCCACAGTCCTATGAGAGTAAACATTGAACTAAGTATTAAAGGTGTTTTTTTTTTTTAAATAGGTATAGTTGCTGTTAAAACAGCACATCAGCTCAATGTTTTCTTATGATTTACGAATACAACTTGTTATTACTCCTGTTGATTTTTCTTTTGTTTTCTTTTTTGTTTACCTTTTATTTATTTATTTTGAGAGAGACAGAAACCTTGCAAGTGGGGGAGGGGCAGAGAGGGAGGGAGAGAGAGAATCCCAAGCAGGCTCTGCCCTGTCAGTGCAGAGCCCGATGTCAGGCTCAAACCCACGAAACCATGAGATCATGACCTGAGCCGAAACCAAGAGTCAGATGCTTAACTGACTGAGCCACCCAGGCGCCCCTTGATTTTTCTTTTAATCTGTGAAATAAGGAAGTAATATTTTTAACGGAAAGGAAAAGAACTCTTGTATGTAATAGACACAAGCATATATGTCTATAAAAAGCAATATAGACTCTGGCACTGTTACCTAATATAGTATAGCATCATCAACCTCTATTGACCACTCTCTTTAAACATTTTATTTGGGGTTAACATATATTCTAGGGGAATGTGTCTATTCCAGCCAGTTCCACTTACAAGTGTGGACATGCTCTGGCCCCTCAGGAAGAGGCGGATAGTGGGCAGGTGCAGGAGAATGTGAGACGCAGAAGTAGGCAGGTTGTGTTGCCCTGGCAGGGCACCATCCATCCCTACCCTTCTTCTAAAGCTAGGAAGGCAAAGAGTTGCTTATGACCTCACCTCAAGTCAATTTGTAGGAGAACCAAGCCCCCCACCTTAGAGGCTTTGTAGCTGTAGCCTATAATCAAGATCGTGCCTTGTCCTGGGGCACCAGGTTGGCTCAGTTGGTACAGCCTGTGACTCTTGATCGTGAGTTTGAGCTGCATGTTGGGCGTAAAGATTACAAAAGAAAAAAAAAAAGATCTTGCCATGTACCATCTGCCTTATTACACCCCATGGACTTCATACACACCTCTTTATTTCGCTGTCATAAAACCAGTGCTACTAACCAGAACAGAGTGCAAACAGATTACTAGGTGCCAGGCACTGTTCTAAGAACTTCATATGTAGAAACTCCTCTGTTTCACACAACAGCCCTGTGAAGTATATACTCTGCCTTGCCTCCATTTTACAAATGACTTCTCTAAGGCACAGGGTAAGTAATTTGGTCAAGGTCAAATCGACCTTGGGAGTGGAGAAGTCACTACCAAATGGGGGCCCTAGAGGCCTAGCTGCTCAGTTTATGCTCCAGTCTTTTCCAGATCCCTGATTTTGACGGCAATAGCTAGTCTTCCTTCTATAAATTATGCAATCCTGTCCCTTCAATTAATGTGAAAGCAGCAGAAAGAGTGGTTATTCACAGGCTTAAATGCAAGTATCTGCCCTCTGGAAGTAGAATAAGGACCCTCACTTCATTCACCCACAAAATGTAAAAACAAACTAGTAAATCCAAACCAAACCCCTGTCGATCTGGTAAGAGTTTTCTGAGTTTCTGGAGGTACTTAGAAGAAATACAAAACATAGAAACAAAAATGGCAATGGCCAACCACCTTCATAAAAAAATTTTACTGGATAAACCCAGTGCCTAATCTTCCTCCAGCCCTTAGCCATGCAACCCTCCACCACCCACCTTCACTTGAAATCAAATATTTCCTTATGGAGGGGAGAAAGATCAAAAACTTCTGAATTTCTATTACATAAGCTGCTTTTTTACAAAAACATGGCAGAGTAAAACTGTGCCAGTTTGGTATCATGATGCTTGCCTCATTTTCTATCTTATCTTTGAAAAGGTTTATTAAATAGACATTAGGAATTTGGGAGAAACAACTTTTCTCACCAAAACCTCTTCGTGTTCCTTGGACCGAGAGTAGATTCTCCCATAGGACATCAGATCTCTGAGCTGGGTAGAGGCTCAGTGGTCAGTGCTCGTTCACCCATGCAGACTGGTGTGTTGGATAAATACTGACTGGGCGCATCCTGTGAGGGGTCTCACCCGTGGCTCACCTTCTCCAGTGTGTCGTTCAGGGTATCCATTGCCTGCAGTTTGGCAATATTTGCAATGGCGCTGTAAAGATGAGACAAAATTTCATATAGGATGGGAAAACTTTCTTACTAAGGAGGCTAAATGATTTATACAAGGGGCTATCTACTTGGCCTGTAAGTCTTTACACTTGCTTGGTAATATCTAGAAGGCAAAAAATTCTGCTTCTGTGTGCCCATGTGCTACAAAAATCTTTGTAGGTCAAATTATTCTTACTAGTGTATTTAATTTTTTTTAATGTTTATTTATTTTTGAGAGGGGGGGCAGAGAGAGAGGGAGATCCAGAATCCGAAGCAGGCTCCAGGCTCTGAGCTGTCAGCACAGAGCCTGACACAGGGCTCGAACTCACGGACCGTGAGATCATGGCCTGAGCTGAAGTCGGCTGCTTAACCGACTGAACCACCCAGGTGCCCTTTTACTAGTGTATTTTTGTTTTATCTTTCCATTGAAGTATATAGCCTGGTGAATATTCACAACTAGTTAAACCAGCTGCCCCTGAGGATAACTGTTTCCCTGACTTGTAGCCCTGTAGATTAGTTCTGAGTGTTTCTGTACTTTATACAATGAATCACACAGCAAATACTCCTTTGTGTCCGGCTTCTTTTTCTCAGGCCAATTTATTTTGTAGGAGAGCATCAGTTAGGGCTCAGCCTGCAGTACAATTTCTTGATGGAAACTGTACTTGGCATTTTTTTTTTTCTGGATGTTTTGTGTTGGTTAGAAGTTATTAGGAAATGGACATAGATCGATGATGCTCAGAAATTTATTTTCTATGATACATTTTGCAAAAGCCATTCTCCAAGACGTAGGGAAGGATGTCTGTCCATGAAAATGAGGCCCTCATATCTCATGCATACACTCACAAAGCGATGACAACAGCAGAGGTGAATTTAGGGTGGAGCTAATGAAGCTTCAGCTTCAGGCCTCCCCCTGAACAGGCTCCTTCTCCCTTCATAGCTATAATGTTTTACTATTTTTCTTTAAAATGGCTCCCAAATCCTACACATATCAGGCCTCACATACCTATATCTGTTGCTGGTGAATAGGGCAAGAGAGAGTGAGCTACTTCTTACAGTTTATGTTTTGAAGTGGTCCCATTCTCATCTTTTAATGACTCTTAGGCAACAATTGAGTTTTTTAAGAGGGTTCCAATCTCCACTTTATTACTCTCTAGTCAACTCTTCCCACATCATTCAGCTGACGACACAATTAAGTCCCCATTTTCTGAAGTGTAGAGAAATAAATGACTTGTCCACTGGCTGCCAACTGGATGATATATCTAAGCAAACACTTTTATTTTATTTTATTTTTGGTGAGAGAGATAGAGACAGTGTGAGCAGGGGAGGGGCAGAGGGAAAGGGAGAGGGAGAATCTCAAGTAGGTCCCATGCCCAGTGTGGAGCCTGACACGGGGATCGATCTCACGACAGTAAGATCACAACCTGAGCTGAAATCGGAATTGGTTGCTCAACCACCTGAGCCACCCAGATGCCCCTAAGCCATGACTTTTTAGTTGTTCCTGAGCCCCTGGCCCAGGCATGTTAACCAGGTCACAATAAACAGGGCTTATGCCTGAATTAGGTTTTAGTTACAGAATAAAGCCAGCTTTCAATTTCAAGTGATTTCTCTATTCTAAGAACTGTCCTAGATGTTGGGTCTGGAGATGAATAAAATGTGACCCCCACTGTTGAGGATTTATAGCATTGGCTTTCATTATGTGATAGTTATTTTCTGATAGCAGAAGAAACAAAAACATACTGGTAATGGGGCAAATGAGCCTTTCATTTTAAAGTGGCACAAATCCTCAAAAAAATTCTTTCCCAGAAATTGGGAAGAAAACTTCAAAAGTGATTTAAAGATGGGCACCTGGGAGGCTCAGTAGGTCAAGCATTCGACTCTTGATTTTGGCTCAGGTCACGATCTCACGGTTGTGATACTGAGCCCCAAGTCAGGCTCTGCGCTGGGTGTGGGGCCTGCCTGAGAGTCTCTCTCTTCCTCTGCCCCTCCCCCACTCATTCTCTCTTAAAAAAATAAAGTGAATTAAAGATAATTTTACATGAAACAGCCACAGAAATTACACAGTCTATTTCCCTCTGCATTCTCTTTCTGGGACTACTACCATTATAATTCTTTAGGACACATCTTGAATGCCCTCCAATTGACTTCTTTTTGAATCACTTATTGAGTCATCTATGGAAACCATCTTGAAATTGTCCCTGAAGTGCCCTCATTACCTACTTGGAGGAGCCAGTTTTGCAGGTCTCTTTCTTTTGGAACACATTTTCTTTAACCACAGTACACAGTGGTTAGGCCATTTGCGCGCCTGACCAGCCCACAGCTCTCTGCTTAGCTCTGGGAATTGTGCCTTCTGTCAAGGTTACAGGGGAATGAGCAGGGAGAAACTAACCTCAGTATCTATATGCCTTCTGGCCATGCCAAATATAGTGGCCATTATTTTCTAAATAATTGAGTGATGGATTTAAAACAAAACCAAAAAAAAAAAAAAAAAAAAAAAAAAAAAAAAAAAAAAAAAAAAAAGAAAAAGAAAAAAGAAAAAAGAAACCCACCCCATTTATTTTTAATTCAGAAGATTTGCTACAGCAGAAAGCATATTATGAAACTAGGGCCAGCCTAGGGACACTATTTTAAAGGCTAATGTGAAAATAGGCTAAAGGAACATGAGTCAGGTTTAGATGAAGTCAGGATTGTGCTTTTTAAGTATAAGGACAAGGCAGCTGGGCTGGCTGCAGAGAGAAGGAGGAGGGTGAGGGGGTCCAGAATCTTCTAGAAGGTAGTCACCTTTCACCTGAATGTGCCTTTCATCTTTATCCCCCAACACCACCCCTCCTGGGCTGGCTGCCTTTAACCCTGTTCAGCAAAGGTCTAGGAAGGGTTGGTTTGTCCTAAAATGCAGGGAGGCCTCTGACTTCTGGAAGCAGAGTCACTCAAAACTCCTTGAGGTGATGAAAGAGAAGAAATCAGGCAATCCCTACCTTGTTTTCTCTAATCCCGTTTTTTTGGTGTGTCTGTCCAAGACGCCAATTTCTTGTTTTTTGGAAATTCGCATTCCTCCGGCTTTTACTATACAAAATAAGCATCAACACAGAGGCGTGGTTAGAATAGAAAGAGTAGTCTTGCTTTGTTATTCAAGGTATGAATTTAGACTTGAAAAAAAATTTTAGAACTTACTTTCTGAAGATCTAAGCTTTTATCTAAAATAACACAATAAAACGTTACCCTGAATTGAAGAAAAAATATTGTGTCATGCAAACAAGGTGGGGAAGGGGAGAAGGGCTGAGGTCTGCTTTTTGATGTGCGGAGAGCAGGAACTGAGGCTAAAAAAAACAAGAGAGGTTTACACTTTTGGTTTGGGGAGGAGAATAACAACATACTCCCTTAGGTGTTTCACTGAAAAACATTTTTTCTTGTTATCAAACCAATTACATTCTTTATGATAGCAACAGACAATTACAATGTGACCCTCTTGTTTTCCCACAAGATTAAAGTTTGTGCAAGGCTTGCATTTTTTTTTTTCCCAACTAGAGTGTTCAAAAGCCAGATTCTGAGAGATGAGCCAAAAGTCAGGGCATGCAGTGGTAACAGGCATTTAATTCAAGAGAAATGCCTCTGATCCCACTGGATACCCACCTTCCATCCAGGACCCCAAACCTCTGATGTTGGCCAAGCTCAGAGGTTCTAATGAGTAATTAAACGACATTAATAATCCTGCCATTCAGGAGATCAATTAGTGTTAATTAGGCTACAGATGACCTAACAGCAATTCAAGTGTTTAACAATGTCAGATGAAATCAACTTTTGAAAAGGAACAACCCATTTCAGATTGCAAGTCAAAGCAAATACTTCTTTCTGTTCCCAGGAAATGTGCACATCTCAAATCTGACAAACTCAAATGAGAAAAAGCTAAATGGACATTGATTTGTTTGAACTTGTTAATTCTCTTTATGGAAACGCCAAATTGGCAATTTCTAAAACTAGTTCCAATAAAGTGAAAAATAAGGGAAACCCATTGTATTTCTCAATGCACTTGTGAATTTGACTTTACCCTTGTTCTTTAAAAATTATTACATATTTTGCTGATTTTGTAAAACACCCATAAGGCACACAATTCAAAAAGCACGAAGAGGTCTGCAGTCTCCCTCCTACCATTATTTCCAGCTCCCAGTTCATCTCCCTAGGTACTGCTAATGTTACATGTTTCCAATGTGTTTATGCAGATAGTCTACATATCACGATTTTTAATGTTTTTAATTTTTAATTATTTTCTTTTAATGTTTATTTATTTTGTGTGTGTGTGTGTGAGAGAGAGGGAGAGAGAGCAGGGAAGGGGCAGAGAGAGAGAGAGAGAGAAAATCCCAATAGGCCCCATGCTGCCAGCACAGAGCCTGACCGAGGGCTGGACCCACAAACCTTGAGATCACAACCTGAGCTGAATCTGAGAGTCACTCAACCAGCTGAGCCACCTAGGTGCCCCATTGTATTACTAATTAAAAAAAAATTAATTAAAAGTTTTTTTAATGTTTATTTATTTTTGAAGGAGAGAGAGACACAGAGTGTGAACCAGGGAGGGGCAGAGAGAGACGGAGACAAAGAATCGGAAGCAGGCTCCAGGCTCCAGGCTGCAAGCTGTCATCACAGAGCCGGATGCAAGGCTCGAAGCACAAGATCATGACCCAAGATGAAGTCGGACACTTAACCGACTGAGCCACTCAGGCACCCCATCATATTACTATTTTTTTTTAAATATGAAATTTATTGTCAAATTGGTTTCCATACAACACCCAGTGCTCATCCCAACAGGTGCCCTCCTCAATACCCATCACCCACCCTCCCCTCCCTCCCACCCCCCATCAGCCCTCAGTTTGTTCTCAGTTTTTAAGAGTCTCTTATGTTTTGGCTCCCTCCTTTCTAACCTTTTTTTTTTTTCTCCTTCCCCTCCCCCATGGTCTTCTGTTAAGTTTCTCAGGATCCACATAAGAGTGAAAACATATGGTATCTGTCTTTCTCTGTATGGCTTATTTCACTTAGCATCACACTCTCTAGTTCCATCCACGTTGCTACAAAAGGCCATATTTCATTCTTTTGCATTGCCACGTAGTATTCCATTGTGTACATAAACCACAATATCTTTATCCATTCATCATCTTACTATTTTTTAAATGGCAGCATAAGATACACATTGTTCTGCATCTTGTTAGTTTCTATTTTTCACTCAATGATAAATTTTGGAGAAAATTCCCTATCTATGTAGACATGTGTTGTTCTTTTTAACATCTACTTTAAAATTTCATTATATGAACATTCTGTTTACTGAACCAACTCCCAAATGTTGGACATTTTGGATGTTTCTAATTCATTGATGTCACAAATCATGCTGCAACAAATATTGCTTTATATGCGTAATTTTGCGCAAGTGCAAGTATACCCGTGGGATAAATTCCTACAAGTGATCTTGTTCTATGTGCATTTCGAATTTTGTTACATCTTGCCAAATTGCCCTTCCCAGAGGTTGTACCTGTTTACAATCTACCTCCGGCAACAATGGGAGCTGGAAATGTTTGGTTTTGTCAACGAAGAAGTCAAAGAAAAAGATATCTTATTTTAATTTGCATTTCTTCTATTTTATTAAAGGTTGAGCTTGCTTCTGTCTGCGTGTTACAAGCCATTTGTATTTCCTTTTCATGAACTGCTCAAATTTTTGTCCATTTTTTTCTATTTGACTTCTACTCTGTTCTATTAATCTCTTTACTGCAGTTCCAACTCTAGTTTAATGATGGTAGCAATATATATTTATTAAAGAATAGTTGACACACAGTGATGGTAGCATTACATTTTAATGTCTGATAGAGTTAATACTTTTTTGCTGTTTCCTCTGCAGAATTTTACTAGCTATTCTGATTTAGTTTTCCATATGAACTTTATTAAAAAAAATTTTTTTAACGTTTGTTCATTTTTGAGAGAGACAGAGCAGAGTGGCGACGGGCAGAGAGAGAAGGAGACACAGGATCCAAAGCAGGCTCCAGGCTCTGAGCTATCAGCGCAGAGCCCAATGTAGGGCCCAAACCCACGTACTGTGAGATCATGACCTGAGCCAAGTTCGGATGCTCAACCGACTGAGCCACCCAGGTGCCCCTCCATATGAACCTTAAAATCAGTTTGTCAATTCTTTCCTTAACAGTCCTGCTGGTATTTTTTTTTTTAATGGTCTCACTTTAAATTTATAGATTTTTTTAAAGGGAAAGTTCGTATCTTTATATTCCTAGTGGCTCTCTATTTAGGAACATGGTATGCTTTTCCATTGTTTGTATATTCTTTTGGGTCGCTGAGGAACTGGTTCACATAAGGGGTGCCTGGGTGGCTCAGTCGGTTGAGCATCTGACTTTGGATCAGGTCATGATCTCACAGTCTGTGGTTCAAGCCCTGCATCGGGCTCTGTGCTGACAGCTCAGAGCCTGGAGCCTGCTTCTGCTTCTGTGTCTCCCTCTCTCTCTGACCCTCCCCTGCTCATGCTCTCTGTCGCAAAAATAAATAAGAACATTAAAAAAAAAAGGAACTGGTTCGCATAAATCTCACACATTTATTGTTAAGTTTAACCCCTAAGCATTTTATCTTTCTTGTTGCTGTTGCTGTTGTAAATGGGGTTGATTCTTCAATGATAACTCTGACAGATTGTTGTTCTTGTATCATTGATTTTATACCTAGATCTTATTGAATTCTTATTATTTATAATAGGTTTTTTTTTGGTTGATTCCCTTAGGTTTTTCAGGTAAAAAAATTATATAACTTGCAAAGAATTATAATGTTACTTCCTGTCAAACAATGTTAGTCATGGTAGTTGACATCTTTGTTATCCTAATTTTTAAGAGATTGCTTTTCATGTTTTTCCACTTAGGTGGACACACACACATGCACACATACACACAGATATATATGTATATATATTTATATATTTTTTCATATTAAGGAAATACTCTTACTATTTCATTGGGCTTAAAAATTACAAATATCTTTTTAGCATTCATGGATACGACCCATGGTTTTTGTCCTTAATGTGGTTAATTATATTAACAGATATTAATATATAAAGATATATTAATGGATATCTTACTATCAAACCATTCTTGCATTCATGGAATAAACTCCACTTGGTCATTTTGAATCACCAAGTTGTTTTTTCATTGATTATAAAAGCCTCTTGTTAGAATTTTGTAATATTAGATGCAGTCTAGAAAAAAATGCTATTTTTACACATGATCTGCTTTAAATTCACACACACACACACACACACACACACACACACACACACACACACACAGACAAACATTATGTGAGAAAAAGGCATAGAGAGTAATCAGCAACAGAAATCAAATGATGTGAAAATATCTTCTGAACAGCCAGGGAATATAAATGTGAAATAAATGAAGGGATGGCTTTTCTGGGAAGACTAAGGAGGCGTGCACTTCTGTGTGAGGGGTGATGGCATACATAGCACTGTTGTCTCTCCTACTGAGAGGAGTCAAACAGGAGGTCTAGAGTTTGGGCCTTTCCTCTCCCATTGTATTTTTTATTCTCCTTGTGACAAGTGAGGTATCTTTTTAAAAAAAAATTTTTTTTAACATTCATTTATTTTTGAGAGACAGAGAGACAGAGCATGAGCAGGAGAGGGGCAGAGAGAGAGGGAGACACAGAATCCAAAGCAGGTTCCAGGCTCCGAGCTGTCAGCACAGAGCCCGATGTGGGGCTCGAACCTATGAGCTGTGAGATCATGACCTGAGCCAAAGTCGGACACTTAACTGACTGAGCCACCCAGGTGCCCCAGTGACAAGTGCTTTTGAAATATGGAGGGCTGTAATTATTTTCTTATTAATATTCTTTGTGTTTTCCCTGATGCTATTGTTTCTACATATTTTTTTCCACCAGGCTGACTATTATCACCAACTATAGAAGCCAACTTGTTAACAGTTAAAATAAGCAATAGTTAAGAATGAGAAGCCATTTGGAATATTGAGTTCTGTGCCACTCATCTGCAAGGAGCTGGACAATCTAGGGAAGTCTAGACCAGA